ACCTCAATACAGAGGCCTGGTATGACTAGGCTGGTATTGTAACCCTTCGTGTCTGTATTTGTGCTGCCTTCTACAATTAACCTCCAATAGATTTGGCATTTCAGGAAAAAACCATGCATGAATTATGTGTACTAAAATAGTGAAGCTATAACATTTGGAGGAACATGGTTATCTATTATTTAATGCTGTAAAAAGCTTTATCTGTGTTCAAAGCCATTTTATCAAACCTTTTGGCACCTGGAGCCAAGTCTTTTTTAGCCCCCTGTGTTAAAACAGAGAAAGCAAGTTTTGATTTTATTTTTGTTGGTGTTGTTTGGGGTGGAAGGGCAGCATAAGACTTATATTTGGAAGAACAGTTAATTCAAGTTTAGTGACTAGGATGAAATCCAGCATCAGAGTACAGACAGTTTTGTAGAATTGATTTAACCCAAAGCAACAGGGGCAGATTTGCATACAGAGAAATATAAATTCAAGCTTCCACTTAAGCCTAGTCTGAAATAAATTGGCTTGCTGGGAATTTTATTTTATAGATTGTTAAATAGTTACATTATTACAGCATCAAGCCTATTAATAGCTGTCCTTGTGTTTCTTTTTAAAGCAAATTGATGGAGAAGCATTTCTGCTAATGACCCAAACAGACATAGTCAAAATAATGAGCATTAAACTGGGACCAGCCCTAAAAATCTTCAATTCCATTCTGATGTTCAAAGCCGCAGAGAAAAATTCACACAATGAACTCTGAAAGTAATGGAAAGTGTATACAAGCCAGCTTTCTCCACTGGAGCTTATGTTTTATTCAAAGCACAAAGTTTCACTAGAATTGTCAAGTAAGAACTCTTGGAATGGAAGAAAAATAAGCCAGTGCTGGTGGACTATTTAATATCTTTGAGAGCAACTACACCTGAATCCTTCTGGGAAGTGTTTGAGCCTTTAACAAGGTACTGTATAACACCCGAGTCAGCTAGTCTTATTTACCAAATTAATGGCACTATTTCTTGGACTGTTAGATAGGATTCCTACCTTTATTTTGGCATCTGGAAATCCTTCGCTGATTATTTATGCTATAATAAAATGAGGGAAATGGTAATATTTTCTAAGAACTCCTGAATTCTGTTTCACGTATCCATTTTTCTTTGCGGTAACTTTTACTTCATGCTGTCAAAACAAAACTGGTTAGCTAAAAATGAGGCTACAAGTAGCCAGTTCAGACTGTTGTGGCTAATGCAGGTTTTGTTTCATAGTTTAAAACACCACATTTATGCTATATAAATACCACTTTATGCTACAACATAGAAAACTTTCCAAAATTATGAAATTGTCTACCTGCTTGTAACAATTACATTGTTGAGGTTGAAATTCTAATGATTTTTGGATAAACTGAATGTTTTTACTTTTGCACGATTATAAAAATGTTACATGGGGGGGGGGGGTTTCCACCAGCATCTTTAATGTAAGTTACCGAAAGACCAGTATAGAGAAAGCTGCAACTGAGGAATAGCGTTTGACTTCACAGAATACCATTATTCATGCTGCACCATGGCACTCCAGGTTTCTTTTTTTTTTTAAACCTGGGAGCCCACAAGTATTATACAGCACATGGAGTAAAAAATTATGTGTGTGTGTGTGTGTGTGTGTGTGTGTATATATATATATATTTGAGGTAAGAATTTAAAACAAAAAGAAAACCTTTTCTATGTCTGTACTTTCTGATCTTCAGTACTTACTGCAATAATGAAAAAGAGGAGTACAAAGGCTCAGACTGCTCCCCAAGGTCTATGCTCAGTGCAAGGTGCTCATTTGCCTACCACTGGGGTATTACTTAGCCCTTCTTCCTAGCCTGAAGGTCACCCCAAGTTAGGAAATATATTTTAGGGTGCAAAGGAAAATGAAAGGAGGAAGAAAAGGAAAACTTGAGGAGCAAGGTGCATGACACTTGTTAGTTCAGGCACCAATTCCTATAGTGGGTAATTAAGTAAGACACCCTTCTTTCTTGAAGGATTGTTAGAAGCATTTGATTAAGGGAAGGTGTTGCACTCTGTTTATAAAAAAGGATATAGAACAAGATGCACTTTAAATTAAGAAAGGCCTAGCTACCCATAGACTAAGGATGGATCTAGAATCCTCCTTGTGAGAATGATCCACATGGGAGGAAGGTGAGAACTGGATCAGTTGGCTCATACAATCTCTTATGCCTAGTGTGAAGTAAGGGGGATCATTTATCTTTGCAGTTTAGAATGAGCAAAACATTCCTACCACACAGGAGGCTGGGAGGAACAAAATCTTCCTACACTTTGCTAGGGCCTCCTAATTGGCTGGAATTCCTTAAGATTTGGAGAACTCTTTGTGCCACTGTGGGTCACTTAAGTGACTGGCACCTGCCATAATGTGAGGTAAAACAGGGTCAGTATGAAGTAAGTTGCATTACTCTATTAGGCTCCTTCCATGACATTGCATAAATAATATTTTTTACATTTTGTTCAAAATTTGTACATTCAAATTGCACTCTTATTGTATCTACAATACAAAATAAAATCTGAATTGGAGAAGATTGTTACATTTGTGTTTTTCTAGGATTCTCAAAAATGAACTTAGCTGGTCCACAGGGTGGTGTGGACTGATTTCTACACAGCAACTCAGCTGTTGGCATGATTTTATAAAATCAGCTATAAAAGAGTTCTCTCCTGTTTCCCCAAACACCTACTTAACAAAGATATCATCTCATGAGCTACTTCCTGTATCACGCAGCCTACCTTTGGCAACATCAGTTGCTCACACAGGCATGTAACGTTTGGAAATTAATGCAACTAATCACCTTTTCATCTTCTCCACCCAGCTGTTCCATCCATTTTGGCTCTTTTGTATGTACTTTCCTGTGCACTTTCCCTGTTTCTCTTCTTCATCATACATTTCTCTAGGTTACAGATTAGTGAGGTGCTCTCTGTTCTTCTCTGCAGAAGGACCTGAAAGCCTGTAGAAGCCAATGAGGTACCAAAACCATGTGAACTATCAGCTATCCCTTGCAAATTAGTTTAGGAATAGCTGATTTCTATGGAGATATACTGGGATTTTCTTACACAGTTTCCTCTTGCCTCTAGAAAAGTACTGAACTTTGAGAAATTTTTGCTTATCATTTACAAGACACCTCTGTGAATATGGACTAAATGACACAGGCCCAGTCTTTTATTCAGTACTGCCCAGACCCAAAGTAGTTTCCCTCCATTACTCTCTCACACTATCTCCAATTTGATAAACACGTATCATATCAAGAGGTGCAGCTGTCCAAATAATTTGTATTAGGAAGACTAATAAGGTTGAGAAAATTTGTTAAGAAAACAAAAATACATGAAAAGCAGTTCTGCATCTTTAAAACTAAATTCCTTTGAACATGGTACAGGAGGTAGACTGGCAGCTATTCCACTGCTGTAATCTGTAGTAAAAGTCAAACAGAAACATCATCTCTTAATAGTTTGAATTTAGCTCTGAAACTTACCACCACCTTCTCCACCATAGTACTTAGGGCTTGGACACACAAAATGTTTACACTACTGTAACTGCCCTTTCCAGTGCCATGGAAAAAAGAGGAGCTATGTAACATGGCATCCTATGTAAATTCAGTGTAGACTAGGAAAAATCAGTGATAAATCCACAGTGTTGTGTGTGTGTGTTGGTCTGCAGCCTAACCCAGGGTAGCAGTTTGTTCAAGACAAAAAGGCTATTACTTGCTCACCCTACTATCAACAGATGCTGAAACAGCAACATACTATGCAGAGATGCAAGTTATGCTGGGTGTAACCAAGCTGTATATCCAAGTCCCCTGGTATATCTGCAGAACCACTAATCAAAAACAAAGCTTTGGAATTTTCCAAGCTACTTCTGCTTCCTAAAATTAATGCAGGAATAACAAACTCAAGAGATCCTGCATAAATACTTTAAGACAGCTTTAAAATCATGGAATTCAAACAAAGAGCATTATCTTTGTTTCTGCAATGAAATGGTGACATTTTGCTAGCTACTTCCATTTTTCAACCACAGAAACTCCAAGGAAGCAAAGGCTCTGAGATTTAAAAGAACCATGCTGGGCCATAATGTGGAAGATGATCCTGGTCACTATTGAGGCAACCTGGTCTAGCACAAAGACTCATCTCCACGTAAAATGGTCTCTGCACACACATGCTGACATGCATTATACCTCAATTGTGCAGCAAGAGAAGAGTGGCCAAATTGCACCCCGCAAAGAAGACAAGTGAGAAACAAATCCAGAGAGAGAGAGATCTATCTGCTGATTTCAGCTCCAAAGTACTTTTAAGGAACTCTTTGTAACTTAGAACTTTCATTTAGTCGTTTCAAGTGCAGTTAATCAGGAAAATAAAGGTAAGTTGTGTCACATAGGCAGGGAAGATTCTTCAGGCTCTGGCCAAATTATACTATCCCCAGATCCAGTGTCTGCAAATTAAACCTCAGACGCAGCACTTTTTAAATGGAAAAATACTTATTTATAGTACTTTCAATGATCGTATTACAGTGAAACCACATTACCTCTTAATTGCAAATCTTTAACTTGTATCACTTCAAGGAAAAACACCCACATCAAACCATGAATCCAAATGCAAGGAATATAAACAACTGAGGCAGTAAAGTATTAAAAGTAAATTAGTTCACAAGTGAGTTTCTTACCTTTGACTTAATCAAAACTTGATCCAAATGGAGTAAAAAAGCTCTATCAGAAAAATAATGCACAGTTACAGTGAACTATAAAACTATTTTCTAACACAAAAATGTCTCTAGAATTTTCATTAAAAATAATGAAAATGCTCAGGTTTTAAATTTTAAAAATAACAGCAGCCCATACAATAAAAAACAGGTATTGTAAAAACACAGCTGTATTATAAATATTCATACACTTCCACTGGAAAGAATTACACTGACTTATCTTCACGACCAAAGATTTCTTTTGACAGTGCTCCAAAGGCATTCCCCTGAGACGAGTATCACATCTGTTATCAAACGGTCAGACATTCAAGTTCTTCTAGTTCTCTCTTTACCTTCACTGGGAAAGACTGCAGACATCTCACCTCAAAGATCAGTGACTCTAGAAAGTTAAGTGTGTTGTGGATCTTTTCTGGACACTGGATGTCAAACACATGGAACGCAGCCAGCAGAGCAGCCAGTGCCATTGTACAATCGTCAAGCTGAGCCAGTTTCTCTTTTTCCACATACAAAGCAAACTCACATGTATTAACATTGAAGGGGTTTTTCACTTCCAACACTGGTGTCGAGACCTTCACCTGCAATAAAACAAAAAGCTATAATTCATGAGGATTGCCAGTTACATTCATGTTCAAGAGGTGCTTCGAAATTGGTTAATAATTCTATGGGTGTTTGAGGTCTTTTGCATCAAAAGACACTAAGTAACATAGGCCAGGGTTTTACAATGAAGATAGTGAGCTGTAAAAAGGCTAAGGGGAAGATTTTAGAGTTATGCACCTAAAATCAAACTTAGGCAGACTGAATCCAAAATCATGATTTAAAAACACCCTCACTTGGCAATTATGGAGGTGTCTAAATTTACTGGACAGGTTCCTCTTTGGCCTGGAAAGTCCCCTGGGCCGCTACAATTGCCCTTCTGTCCTTGCCCAGAACTAGTCCAGCTGAACAGGCTCCTGGCTCTTACTGAAGTCCCACTGAGGTAGAAAAACAGGGCAGAGCAGAAGCACTTGCCCAGGATGAAGTTGGAGACTCATCAACCTTCTTGCCTGAAGTTGGGCCATAGCATAGAAAAGAAGACAAGACTTGGGAGCTACAAGAAAATAAGCAAGAGGGTGTTTCACTGCAGCTGGGTGCATAGATCGTGCAGCTGGGAGAAGTGAGGTCCTGGCTTCAAACTTATTGCTGGCGGGAGGGGAAGTTATCCAGTGAATTAATGTTAACTGTATAAATAGTTTTGGGAGCAGACACTGGAGCCCAGGGCTCTTCTTCCCAGCTGTGTCCCAACCACTAGGATACATCAAAAGCACTAGGATACTGTTGCCTACTGCCCCACTCCCATGGCACTTTCTGCTGGGGCCTAGGCTTCAGCTGGAGGCATACAGGATGTGTCCATGAAGTGTTCTAGGTTGAGCCCAGGTATCCCACTTCACTGGACTAGTCTATGGCCTCTTCCATAGTTTCAACCTTTTTAGACCCCAAGTCTCCTCCACAACTTCACTTAATTGAGTGACACCCTATTTCAAAAACTAAGTTATTATTACAGTGCTTACCTCTTTGTACAGGGGCTAAGGAAGTGGACAGGGGGTGGGGGGAGCAACCAGCCAGGGGCAAGAGAGCACGTGCTTGCTCTCTCTGCAGGAGCTGAGCAGTGCAGGGAAGGTGACGGGGAGGAGGGAGCATCTGGGCAGGGACAAGCCTTTTCTTCCTTCCTCACAGAGGAGCTAGGCAATGGGAGCCAGGGGAGGGAACGGAGAGGAAGGAAGAGAAGCTAGACAGGAACAAAACTGCTCTTACTTCCCTGCACAGAGATTGGGCCATAGGGGAATACCTGGACAAGGATGAGTTTGCTGTACACCTAGGAGCCCCCTTCAAAATATTTCACAGCACCCTGGTCCCATCAAGAATCACTGGACTTGCTATTCAGTATTCCATTTCCTTCTGCCAGCTGTGTTTTAAAAAGAAAACTGATCTCTACTCAATACCTTCAATACCTCAATACCAGCCTTCGATCTGGTGTCCCATGATCACCTCTTGGAGAAACTGGCCAATTGTCGCCTTGGGTCCTCCACAATCCACTGGCTGGAAAATTGGCTCCGGGGTCGGACCCAGAGGGTAGTAATCGATGGAAGTCACTCATCGTGGTGTCCTGTGACCAGTGGGGTCCCCCAAGGCTCTGTCCTTGGACCCATACTGTTCAACATCTTCATTAATGATGTGGACACTGGAGTCAGAAGCGGACTAGCCAAGTTCGCTGATCCGATGACACCAACCTCTGGGGCAAAGCATCCACACCAGAAGACAGGCAGGTTATCCAGGCTGACCCGGACAGGCTCAGCAAGTGGGCGGACGAGAATCTGATGATGTTCAACGCCGATAAATGCAAGGTTCTCCACCTTGGGAAAAAAAACCCGCAGCATCCTTATAGGCTCGGCAGTGCTATGTTGGCTAGCACTATGGAAGAAAGAGACTTGGGGGTCATCATTGACCACAAGATGAACATGAGCCTGCAATGTGATGCGGCGGCTAGTAAAGCGACCAAAATGCTGGCTTGCATCCATAGATGCTTCTCAAGCAAATCCCGGGACATCATTCTCCCCTTGTACTTGGCCTTAGTGAGGCCGCAGCTGGAGTACTGTGTCCAGTTTTGGGCTCCACAATTCAAAAAGGATGTGGAGAAGCTTGAGAGAGTCCAGAGAAGAGCCACGCGCATGATCAGAGGTCAGGGAAGCAGATCCTACGATGACAGGCTGAGAGCCCTGGGGCTCTTTAGCCTGAAAAAGCGCAGGCTCAGGGGTGATCTGATGGCCATCTACAAGTTTATCAGGGGTGACCACCAGCATCTGGGGGAACGTTTGTTCACCAGAGCGCCCCAAGGGATGACGAGGTCGAATGGTCACAAACTACTTCAAGATCGTTTCAGGCTGGACATAAGGAAGAACTTCTTTACTGTCCGAGCCCCCAAGGTCTGGAACAGCCTGCCACCGGAGGTGGTTCAAGCGCCTTCATTGAACACCTTCAAGATGAAACTGGATGCTTATCTTGCTGGGATCCTATGACCCCAGCTGACTTCCTGCCCTTTGGGCAGGGGGCTGGACTCGATGATCTTCCGAGGTCCCTTCCAGCCCTAATGTCTATGAAATCTATGAAAGATTGCTTGCAGATGCCTACACTCAGGAGAGGTTTGGACTCTGAATCCTGCATGGGATTCAGGCTCCTAAGCACCTGAGTGGTGTGGGATTTCAGTTCAGCATTTCCTGTTTGCCAGCTTTAGGCAACTCCCCAGTCAGTGTGAGGCTTTTTTGGGTCACCCCTTTCCTTGTGCACTGCATATGCAGCATAAGCACCAAACTCTGGGTTCTGGATTCCAGTCTTTGAGTGCAGTACCTGAAAGTCTTTACTTAATCAAGGATTAAATGACTGACTCTTAAGCAATTAGCGACAGAAAGACAACCAGAACTATAGACATGGTCCTCTGATCTTAGTACTACAACACATTCTTCCTTTAAATGTCACTTGATGATGTGTGATGTCATTAGATATCATACAAGAGACATACAAAAAAAAATCCTAATCACTGCAATTGTCCCCCACTATCTGACACAGGAGGGAGGGTAGGGAAGGGAAGGGAAGAGAAGGGATATTTAATTTAGATGGCGGAGAAGGTGGGAAAATGCAGTAGATTTTATCTGTTTAGAAATGTAACTAGCCTTCATAGCCACATTTAAATACCTCCTCATTCACAGCAACAAACAGACTGGTGTCATCTCCAAAGGCGTCTGGCAGCAGTAAACAAGTGGCCGTCATTTTCATATCTGTCAAAGCAAAGGTTTTTACTGAACTACGAACGAAAGCTTTTCAATATCATTGTGGAAGAGCAGACTGATTTATGAAGTAAGAGCTGTAGGTTATAAAGGTGGTGGTTAAACTCCTCACTGTATCCATGTTCTTGGTTACAAAGTAATTTGAAAAGTAAACTGCAACCCTTGTGTTGATTTAAATGTCTCCAGTGTCTGTCCTCAGCTCTGCCACCAACATACTTTCAAAAAGGCACAGAATTTCATAAATCCACAACTAATGATACTCAAAAAAAAGTATAGTATAGCGTTCCAGATCAGAGAATTAGCTGCTAATTTTTAATCATGCTAAAATTAGACTCTGAATGCAAATCCCCTATAGAAGTCAGTGAAGGAGAAGACCTAATGGAGTAATCTAGGCCATCTTGCTGCCATGACTGGATTATTCTGCATAGGGCATTTAAAAGAAAAAAAGGGTACGTCTCACTCAAATTCTCTGTTGGGGTGTGGTGACCCCACAGTTCAGGCGTCTTCCAGAGGCATGAATTCAAACCCTGCTCTGGGCCCATACCAGATGCTGCCCCTAGTCAGCTCAGTCTCCCCATTCAGACTGGAGAGTTACAAGCAGGCAAATACAATGCGATCCACAATAACGGGCTACAAAAACTGGTGTGTAGTCACCTAAGTACCTCAGTGGGCTCAGGTGACTTTCACTTTTTCATTTGAATAAATGTTCCAAACAATACACTTTTCCCTCCTACTTTTCAGAGTTATTATAAGCATTACAAGTATTGTAAAATATTCCATCCATAGTTTTGATACAAAAAGTGAAGTGGTCCTTCAGCCTCACTTGAATTCTTCCCTGGTGATTGTTAGACCTGATCTAGGTTGGGAAAATTAGCATAAATTCAATTTATCAGAATTTTAAAGAGTTTGTTGTCATTGTATAGACAGATCAGTGGTTCTGTCAACTGAGGCACCCAGCAGAAAATGCCAGCTCTTAGTTTTTCACTCTTTTTTGGCCTACATAAAAATAATAGAGCAGTTTTTCTCTTGCAAAGGACTCAGAAAACCCATGACTATGGATTTCTATTTGAAATTTCAGGGCTTATCTTGTGAGGCATATCTAAATCTAATGGTGCTAACATTGCAGCACCCTTGAAAGTACCTAAAGACACCCCAGGGTGCTGCGGTACCTTGGTTGAGAATCATTAGTATAGACAAAGCTTTAGGTGGCCTGTACAACCTTTACTGAACCTCTTTCAAACCGGTTACACCTTAAGAATACTGTATAACCCATTTGAGTAATGTCTCCCAGTTTTACCAAGACCTCACCACTTAAGAAGTAGACATTGAGAGCTTTAGTATGTCATTTACATACTAAATGACACTTTTGAAAATTCCCTA